TATTTAGGTAGGTTCTATATATCAATCGTGGACAGGAAGTACCTACCCATTTTGCACTAGAGGAATTGATTACGTTGGTAGGAACCTATTTATGATTACAAATTATAATCATACATACCGTTTTCATAGATATATCATAATTAAATATATTTTACCAACTGCGCAATATTAACAGTGGGAGTTTGGAGGGGACAATGCAGCAATATTATAGTTATTCTCAAAAATTCATAATAATAATATATTGTTTTTTTTTTTGTCAATATATTATTCGTAATCTTCGGTAGTAAATTATACACAAGAATTGTTCGCAATGCCCTATGGTTTGGTTGAATAGAAAACCTTGATCCATATACTTGGTGGATTGTTATTAATTAACATTACCTATCAATTTCAGGACCTATTCTCGAACACGGATGGTAAATGGTAATCTGAGTTAAGACTTAAGTATATGCAACATTTTATACTTATATATATATGAACATACCTACCTTAAATATAGATGTTTTTAACATATTTTACTGAAATGGCAACAAGTGAGTTGTAAATGAATAGTTTTTGAATTGCGCAAGTCATTTAATGACTATACACGGGAATACCTATAGGTTTTGTAAGCTTATTGCAAATTATTGTTATTGTCAATACTTGTAATATACTAGCTGGTCATTAATGTACCATTTTAAGCGTTGATCAATTTTCAACCACAAACAACATTTTCCAACGAGGAATTAAGAACATGAATTTATAATTGATGGTTTGTGGCTTGTGCTTATATAATATTATATGTATAACCACGTGTTATGTTTGGATGATAATTTATCCTCCAATACCTATAAACTTAAACGTCTTGAGTTCTGCGCAAACTATATTTCAAAAATATTATAGATTAGGGGTCGTTTGAAACTCCGAATTCTTTAATAATAATATAAGGTATGTAGGTAATAGGCAAGTACCTACGTACGTTTATGCTGTTTCCAACAGTAATTATTTGGCTTAGAAAAGTTAATTTTCAACTCTGATGATGGTAGAGATGAATATTTTTGTAGACTAATCATGTGATAGTTTATTCTCTACATGTGCTTTTGTGCTTGTGGGTATTGGACATTTAAATTTCAAATAGTTTTTATTAACTATACAACGGCCGTATCAATTTATTCCTTATTCGAGCGTATTTTTTCTGCGAGAAGTCTAGACAAGTCAAGTGGGACGAGGCCAAAATCATTTTCTATTAAGACGAGGTAAGAAATTACATTTAATTAGCATGTTAATGTATTTCATTGATTATGAGTCTCTATAATAATTCATAGTTTGTCAATGTAGATTGCTTTGTTTGTGACAGCGGAAATGGAATTTAGCATTTTCATATAATGGCGCGTGACATATTATTATATTTTCAGTTCAATGAAAAATCGATCGACATTAGCCCTATAAAAAAATTCAAGTTCATATTCATAATTCAACGTGTAGATAGCATAATTAATAATGTCGATAGTTTTAAGTTACTTCGCTAGAGAACTTTGATCTTTCGTCTAATAATATACTTTCGTTCTTCAAAAATATTATAATTAGGAAGGTAGCTTATTCATTGATTCGGTAGGTAGATATACCTAAATGTAATTAAAAGACAATTATTATTATTTGTTTAATCGGAACAACTTTAAATCAATATCCCGTGCATCAATTTTATTAAAATATATATTATGTCTTAATGATAGTGATTGGTTGAAAGTTGGCAAAAATTTAATGGGGATTATAAAAACGGAATAGGATTATAGATTTAAAGCATTAAACGTATGATGGTCACCAATACAATTTCAACATACATTTAAATATTGGTTAGTAGGTATGCAAATATAATTTCACAAGGCCTATATATATATATACATAGTATTTGTGCGTACCTATTTGCATAGATTTCAACCTCTATACCAAATAACCAAAGTCGCATAAAATTATCATCAACACCTATTGGTACATTATTTTATTTTGAGAAACTTCTGCCTATAGGTTCATCGTATACATGCTGTACACTAGCTGTGGTCGTTTAATAAACAATAACATAGTGTTGGTTGATTAACGGTTATCAATTATTATTAATTTATCATAAATTGTAATAAATATATAATATTATAATGTTAGGTGCGATCGCATCATCGATGACGGCAATGCGCTTTGCCATTAAAATTATAAGGTTTACTTAAATTATTTAGTCTATCGCATTTGGTTATAAAAAATTATATTATCAATGCATCGCCATAACGGTGTTTGTATTAAGAGTTTAATGATCCATCGTATATAAAGGATATCGTAAATGAATGTTCCGTTTAGTTTGCACGTACGACGTCATGCTGCTGCACCTACGTATATGTAAGTAGTAAGTACTATTAGTACTTTATTGTTATAATATAAATAGGTACAAGAATAAAAGCAATGACCAAATAACTACTGAGGCCTGAGACATTGGCGCAATACATTTAAAAAATAAAAATTATTCTTTAAGTACTATACTGATGCAAAACGTCTGGTAATTAAATAATAATCATGGAACACATTTAATTGCAATTTTTGGCCTTGCCCGGAAAAATGCAATAAGTCTTATGTCTATTAGGTATACCTATATGAATTAATATTTTCATAAAATATGTATGACATTAAAGAAGGACCACTTAAATAAACTGCACTACGGTTCGTTCGTATGCTGTTGACAGAGCATCTATAATAGTACTGTAATTATTTAAATGCAATTTTATTTCAACAAAAATGTGAAATGACTTATAAACAACAAGTGATGACGTAGGTAATGTGTATAATTCTAGTTGAGGAGTCCGTCAAAAAACCGGTTATCAGTTGTACGCACTACGCATAGCACGTATTTGTTGGAAACGAAAACAGTACGATTCCTGTTCCCGATAATTATTGTTTAGGAACCGAGCACCCAATTGTACAATAATATAACTTTTTATGTATACAAAAATGTTCTAATTGTTATTATATAATAATTGCATGCCGTAATTAGTTAACATACATTTATTTTATAAATAAATAATATTGGAATTTAAAAAATGAGCATTCTATACCAAAGCATTGTATTAGGTATTTAAGTTTAAATATATTAGTTCAAAAATACAAATAATAATTATTATTAGATGTAAGTAATTCAAGATGCACAAAAAGCGGAAATTTTCAATTTTCTGTCGGAAGCCTTCAAACTTGGAGAACACATAACAGTTGATCATCTTCTTTAACTACTACTCAAAATAAGACAAAATCATTGTGAACTGTGAATTTAAAAATAAAAAATAAATAATAATGCAAACTAATATAATTTTTTGAAATAGTTGTATGTAAAAAAGCTAATGGCCATCGACGCCAAGACTAAATAAATAATAAAAAAGGCATATGGGTAAATAATTGTTTTTAAAAAATCACATCATATCAATTATAATATTAAACTATTTTAAAACGTATTGAAATTGATATTAAATAGGGTGACGAGAACGAATAGGACGACAACAAATTAACCTTTTAATTCCAAAATTGGTTTCTTTGAAAAAAATACCTGATGTCCGATGTCCTATTGTCCTCCTGATTCTTGAAATCTCAGCGATACAATAATAAATTACACCTACTTAATATTATTGATTTTAAATTATTTAAATACCTAAACATGTTGATGTTATTAATGCAGCATGATGTTACTAGATATTTTTCCTCTACAAAGAAAATTGAAGAATCATAGATATGTTTTTGAGTAGGTATAGTCCAGTGAACAAATATCTGGTAGAATGCTGCATTTTGTTAAGAATTTAAGTAAATGTATTTATTTTGTATTGTTTATTTCTATTTCTACGGAAGTAAAAAAAAAACCAATGTATATCAGTATTATATGAATATTACAACAGGAAAACAAAAAGAGCATTAAGCTTAAGGACAAGACAACCGGACAATCAAGTGATGATCAATATTGTTTTACTTGGCTGTCGTGAAGAGCAACTATGTAATATCGGACTTGTTTAAGATTATCGGGTACCGGTCAAGTTCACTGCTTTGTGTTTTCATAACCTACTTGACTACTTATGACGAGTGCGATCAGACTTATATTTAAAAAATTATGATTGTTATTTTACTCAGTAGGTACCTACTTATATTTTATATTTCATCGATTAAATTAACCCAATATAGTCGTTGTTTGTTCTCATTTATCATCAAACCAATATAGGCTACGTGTTAATGCATATATTATAAAAATGAAATTAATTAATACAATATATTGTGTTTTTCAAGGCAGGTATTGAATATAATATGGTAACTGAAACAAAACTACAAAAGATAATATTAACTTTAGGTAACTACCTATTACATAAACACATTTTTATTCAATTAAATTTTAAAAAAATAATCATATATTCATCAATTAAATTTATGAGTTAAGATTGGAATCAAACTTTTTCTATATTTATGGAAAGTATAAAACATGTATTTTCGATACACATATTACATACGACGTACGTTCATTATTTATACTGTTTAATTTGTATCAACATGTATTTTAACCATCTATTTATATTATAAATACAATTATATTGTATGAGTAAGAGATATACCTCAGCGTTATTGATGGTTAAAAATGGTATCTTTTTCGGTCTTTAATTATGATTGTGATTTGTGGTTAAAGTTTGTTGTGCCTCAATTTTGTAAATAGGGAAGTATAAATTATTATAGAAATAATTAAACAGTGGGTTGACTTACAAACTATATTTTTTTCAAAAGACAGTAACCTAAAACCCATTTGTAAAATATTCAATGGTTAAAATAAAAAAAAATGCCTGCTATACCTGTGTCCCTGGACAGATTCAGTTTCTTTGACGGTCGTTTTTACAATTTTAACTTAAAAACTTTGCTGTGCAATGTCTCTTTTTTCACCACTTACACCCTTTTGAATAGTATAATATGTCTGTTGCATAGTTAGGATACTAATTTTTTTGTTGGTGGTATTGCTGGATGCTAGAGGAGAGGACGTTTCCGCACTCGCCTAATTACCGTCAAAAAGCACAACCCACATAGTTAATAAGTTTCCTATTGCTTGTTATTACTATTAACGTACTTAGTCATAATAAGCTACAGTAGTTGTGAGATTGAAACTTGGAAAATAACAACGATTCGTTTCGTAGCAACCGTTATTAGTAAACACAAATAAGTTTCAAATGTGTCCGGTTTCAACAATATAATATTATAAAATTATGGGTAGTTGATGTCGACGGAGTCTAAGACATAAGAATTATAAGATTTTCACTAGCAGCCACCACTTGGTATTAAAAAAATAAATTGGTTCTAATCGGTTAGGTCACACAACTATATCGTGCCTGGTTAGGTTAGGTTAGGTATAATATATTTGTCGTCAAAAAGTCTGAGGAAGTGCATTTATAGGTGCTACCATGGCGACCAGTGTATATACAAAGCCAGAGTGTCAGAAACATATGGTTTGACACAAAGTAATGCATTTAGAATTAGGAATTCAGATTGTCACTAACTAACGAATTTGAATTGCATTGCTAGTACTAAATTGTTCTCGGTGAAATACAATGACGTCTACGTCTCAGAGGTAAACTACACTGTTTTTTTTTAATACTTGATAAGTTCAATTTTCGTATGTACCTACTCGTATACCATGTATGCCTGTATATTATTTTACCGTCAATGATGTAATTTAGGTACCTAATAAGTAATAACTAAATACAATGTGATTGCCAATCGTATATAGTTAAATTACAAAAGCATTAAGACTAGTTAATTAATTCGTTAATATTAAAGCGCAATATAGCACATAGTATATATTTAAAATATAATTTTTAATCGATTAATAAAGTATGTTATGATTATTATTCTTACATTTTTAAATCCAGGTAGGTATACGATAGCCAATACGAATTTACAATGGTTTTTTTTTATCGGTGGTCATTGTTTGAGCTACCTGTTTGTAAAAAAAGTTGACAAATAATACTTTAAAAATGACATTGAATATAGTTTGTAATTACTATTAGAGTGAGATGTATACTTTTTTTTCAGTTAGCTGCAAAATATCTTAAAGAAATATAATTTGCAATCATCTCCAAATATTCTAGAGTCTATTGATAATAATATTATATGAAACGTGTATATAGGACTTTTTATATCCAATAATATTGCTAACTTCATGAACAACCAAAAAAAAAAAATATCCCACTGATTATATGTATTATTTATTATTTATTGTTCAATGATTATATATTTGTGTATAATATAAATTAAATGTAATTTATATTAATATTTGTTATAATATTATTATTAGAAATGGTCAAACCATACTTGAATTGGCTATGTCTTCAAAGAATGTTACATCCGACATGGTACCGGTAGAGAGAACTTTGTTAGTAATTGGGAGTAAAAATGCAGTAAGTTTTCATACATTATTTATATGTCGAGTGCCTACAATAAAACAATAATATTATTATTATCATCTATTAAAATGTTCAAAACAAACAAATCTGCATAATGGAATTGAAAAAACAAAAATCTTTTATGTGCATTGAGTTAAGACGTTGAGCATATTATTAATATGATTATCTGTACAATGAATAGATGTAGAAAAACAAATTTCCGATAAAGTTGAAGCTATATCGAGAACAACAAAAAGCTTCTACGATACAATACTTACACTAATAAAAAATAACAATTTATATTATATTATTTTATTTTAATATTAGCTATTTTTCAACTTATATAGTTGACCGTGATTATAGGCCTAGTTTATAACCTTATTTTAAAAATGACTGTTTACAGTTTACAGATTGATTTTAAATAATATTATATTTATGTTATATATGTTTATGGTTATTTATAAATAATGAATAATAGATTTTGGTAATATTTGACATTGAAAAGTATGACGTACCTATAATATTACATTTTTCTCTTATAATAATAAGGAGGAAGCGATTTATACAACTAGGTATCTAAACATGTTTGGTCTTTAGTTCTGCTTAACTTTGACATTGAAAAAACAGAATTCCCGCATTTTATTTTATGTAATATGATAAAAAGTGTAATAATAGATTCAATTAATTTAAGTTGGGTACTCGCTATACATTTCATAAGTTTATAGTCAATTTCTATACAGCTACCTAATTTTACTAATTTTACTGTTAAGCTATTATTGCATCATATATTATAATGTATACTTACCGTTGTGATTTAATATAATTTAATTTATGCAAATATTTTGATGTTATTTTTTTAAGGTTAATACGAAGATTAATATATTAGGTAGTAGTATAATAGGTAACCTATGTAATTGTTAATTTGATTCTTAATAATACATAAAGTAAATTTTGTTGTTTTAAGGGGTTTGATGAAGACCGTTTTGAAGGAGTACAAGATAGGCAATTTTCTTTTAGTTGCCTTCGTGTTGTGTAAATGTGTACACTGTGCGTAATAAGTAATCATTTATATTTTATATGTCAGTGCGATGTATAAAAAATAGCGGAAACTCTCGTACTTGCACACACTGACCAAAAACGCACCACAAAAATATGAATTATTTTGTTAGTTTTTTTTCTTTAAAAGTTCCAATGTTTTGCTAATAGAGTTAATTAATCCATTTATCCAATACGATTTCAGAAACTTATATGAATTCGTCATAAAGTAAAATAATAGAGAACGACCGTCTTTTAAAATACATTTTTTAGTTCAATATTATTGGCCGTTTAAAAAGTTATTTTCAATTAAAATTCAATACGAATTAAAGTATTATGTTTCCAAAAGTTTTATTCGATTACTAGAATAATAGGTACAATAAATCGACGTACGATTGATCTACTTTAGTGGAATATACAGGCGGAATCGAATCTCTATTTTATTTCATTTTGATCATACTATTTTTTAATTTATATTTCTAAAAACAATAATATGAGTAGTGAATACATGACTTAAAATATTTGAATAATAAGCAGTTATATCATTTTTTAAAATTAATTCAGAAATTCTTAAATATGATATTCTTATAATAAAAAATATTTTTGAAAATTATTCGTTGATGACACTGATTATTTTTTTAGGGTAAAACATCATTAATACATTCATTTTTTGACAAAAATGAAAAACCAAAACCCACATTGGCCTTGGAATATTCATTTGCAAGAAGATCTGGAAAAAGTTTAGTAAGTTTAGCTTATTGTTACTACTAAAAGTCTAAAATAATAGCTAGGTATGTTATGTGGGAAATTCGGATTGAAAACAAGTAAATAATATCAGACGGATATGAATGTAAGCATTATTTAAAAGCAGATACTCATTGGGAATTTAGCATTCCTAGTGTCTCCACTGTCTCCATGCTGTTGAAATTGTTTAAAAATAAGCCATTTTGTTTTTTAAGTTTTAGAGAATAATATATAGATATTATTGTTATATAACACAATTAAATAATCCAATTTAAAGGTACGCGTGTTAATATTAAAATTATATGTTATATTTTTTGTGAGCATTGAAGTAACCAACTGAACATAACCGTACAAGTGTACAACACGTACTACCTAAAGAAAATAGAAATGGTTTATCACGTGATGTACTGATGTCTAAAGGTACAGTTGAAAATGTAAATACGTGTAAAACCAATGTTTAATGTAGTTAAAATAAATTAGGATTGTACCTTATAGTGAACTGATTAGGTTTCTGCCGCTCGGCACTTAAAATTTAAAAAGGCTTTAAATATTAATTAATATTTTAACTATAATTAGCATTTTATTTAAAAGGATGCCATTATATAATTAATTGTTGTATAAATGTATAATATGTCTATTTGATAGAATGTTGACTCGGAACTCATACTATTGGAAGTATACTGAAATAGACGGATATAACCAATTCTACTGATATACGTCCTCTTAAGTAGATATTCAATAAAATTAGAGGGGAAACATATAACTGTCCAGTGTTTAGTTAGTTATTCAAACTGACACAGAATAATAATATTCTATTATGATAAAGGCGTATGGCGGTGTTAACCTTAGATTTAAGGTACCTGTATACGATTTAACAAAATTAATGATTATTCAATAAATTCATAAATATAACCTAAGAAGAGAGTCAAGAATCCAGATTGCATTTTACCATTTAGATTTTTGATCCAAAAAACGGTTTGAATAAAAAGGTTCCGCTCGAGGCAATCGCTCCCCCAACTACGCCGTCTCCTTATTTTGGCATCACTTTTTTTTATAAAATTGCCAATTACTTTAGAGCAAAACTTAAAATAATGTGACACAAGTTACTGTGTACATTTCAAGATAAAAATTACATGTATTCCTTCTATCTATACTAAGAGTGTCTTGCTTCTTAACATTTTACTGTGATATAAAACAGGTAAGTACCTATTATTCCTTTTCTTACTTTTCATATTATTTTTGATTATATTGTGCTGCTCGTGACTCTCTTATCGCTGGTCACCCCTGGTCGATACCATTAATGATCTTTGGAAGTAACATATTGTTATATGCACTATGACCCGTGAAGTTGTATCAATATTGATTATTGAATAAATAATTTGTATTTATCATAATTTAAAACTAAAACGATGAGTGGCGACATGGAGTACCAACATTTCAGAGGGTACCTACTTCTTGTTAAATGTAACAATAAATACAATTATTACAATTATTATAATATGGAGTTTTAATTACATTTTAAACTTAGGTACTTATACCTATTTAAGGTATCTACTATAGGTATTACAATTTTACTGTTTTTCGTGTAAGCCGTGTGGACCGTGTGGTTAACACGTTATGATCATATAAGTTTATATAAATTCTTGAAATTATTCAAATACTTTACCGTGTGGTTAGATGTAGCCGTGCAGGTTATTAATGACTACTAAAATTGTTTTACCTCGCTATCATTATTTAATTTGGTGAAAAACAAGAAAGTTCGTAGACCGTGGAAATCTGAAATGTAAATGTATACCTAGTTAAAACATAAGAATTTTTGTTTTGTGTTTCAGACAAAGGATATTTGTCATGTTTGGGAATTGGGTGGTGGCTTAGTTTTCAAAGATCTATTATCCGTGATAGTACAAAAAACGAGAGGCCGACGTTTGAGCGTCGTGTTAGTATTGGATCTATCAAAGCCTGATATTCTTTGGAACACTATGGAAATGCTTCTAGAAGAAATTAAGAAACACTTAGATGATGTACCAGAGATTGAAGAGTATAATCAGATTAATGTCAAAAATGTCGAGGTTTGTTCTAATTAATAATATACGTAAATATATTGCATTTGCGTAATTTACAATTTGCATAACTTCTTACGAAAGCAAACCGTAACAGAAGTTTTTGTATACATTTTAGGATAAAAAGTTTATGTTTCCATTGCCCATACCATTAATGATCGTTGGAAGTAAATACGATGTATATCAAGTATGTAAATGAATTTAAATTTCCATAATTAAAATAATGTTTTTAATTTATACAAAATACTAATTATAACCAATAGAAACCTATTAATGTTCCTCAGATGTAAATATTTTTAGTAAGATATTGTACCTTTTTTATTTTTATTTTTAAAGATATTTACAATATGTTAACTAAAATAATAGGGAAATTTGTTAAATGGTAAATGATACAAATTTTATATGAATAACCCGTGGAGGATGCTGTTCACAAACAGTACCTTAGAAGATGTACCTACTAATTTTTATTATTGATATTGAAATAGTTACAATTTAAAAGCTGTTACACCGGCGAGTGGCTATTAAAATTTAATATATTAGATGACGCATTGTGTTGCGTTAAATTAACTTGTCCCAGTGTAGGATAAGTAATCTAGTATGTGATAAAACGGCGCAACACTGTCGTCGAAAAAATAACATCAGTAATAATAATATAGCATAATAACTTGCGTTTGAGACTTATTGCACTAAAAATCGTTAAAATATTTTATTCAAATTACCAAAATATACCTAACTAACAAAAATTATGAACGTTTGTTGAAATTTCAAAATTATTATTAAAATAAATGTTTGGTGAACTTGGTTTTTTCCCCTATTATTTAAAATAGCAGGTACTAAGAATTTATCGAGATTTTTTTACCAGAAACCTCTATCAAAGTTGATGACCTGAGCATTTTTTCTACTAGAAAAAGTGTATTCAGACTCATAAAAAAATAAATAAAATCCCTCATAATTGTAAAATCAATACATTCATAGCTCCGCTCAGAATCTAAAACCCATCATAGTACATATTGGTATTGAAATGTTAAAAGTAAAAGTAAAAAAAAAATGATTAAAAATATAACCTAATTGATAATGTATGAATTGATAGTTGTTTAATCTAACTTAACTCTGCAGATAAGTGTCGGTTAATATGACTATTATGTAGGAGTACGGTCAGTTCCCGCCAAAAGTATACCTTCCTCATCTTTTAAGCCAATTCGCTTTTCAGCTAAATCATAAATGTGTGGATTCCTTTTTCTGCAAAACCATCAAACTTACTTTTGCGAAGTATCTTACAACTTTTAAAATCATAATCGCAATTCATATAATGTACACCTATATGTATTAGGTATACAGATTATTTTTTTCTAAACTGTTTTTTCAATGTAGGTACTGCTGACTGAGAAATAATTAATATATGTATTTACAAAAAAATATTTATTTTTGGCGAATTTCGTTAAATTAGCTTATGTACATGACTTAATAATAATTAATAGCAAAGTTACTACCAATATCTATATTATTAATATTTATTAATTGCGGTAAGAACACGTTGCAACTATTATGAGGAACCTTGTATTCAAATTGTAATATTTTTCACTCACAAACAAAAAAAATGTCATACATGAATAAAAAAAAAATCAAGAATTTGTCTATTTAATTTCGTAAGTGATATTATTTTATCTAGGTATTTATTAGTCAAATTAATAATTTGTCCTCACTTATAATAGCTATAATCATTTAATACTATTCGAATGGTATTCTATAAGTTGTTCATATGGTGGAAAAGGGAGTCCACCAATTTATGATTGTAGGGAAGGGCACACTTCTGACGGGATGTAGGCATTTAAAGACGATTTAATGACGTTGTGAAAAAGAAGTATAGGTAGCCAACAGGTAGTTTGTTAGTCAGTAGTTCCTTGTACATGATGTCGGGAGTCGAACAACAACTAATAAGTAAAACGGAGAAATTGATAATAATTTACATTTTAACTAAAATTTTCAATATACAACATTATACAATAATTATTATTAATATGAATTTCTATTCGTTTATTTTTTGGTGTCGTTGGTCATAGCGTATAGGTATATTTTACTATTATAATGAAATGGTGATACTTGCGAATTATTGTTTATATTAATAATTAACCTTGTTAGAATTTCGAACCTGCTAAAAAACGCGTGCTATGCCAGTGTCTACGATACGTGGCACACACTTACGGAGCCTCGTTGATCTTCTACGGTGTAAACGACGCAGTTCTGGTGAAGATATCCAAAGAGATGATGTCACATTACGGGTTTGGAACACCTTATCCGTAAGTTAACTAACACGACCTTCAAGTTTTGTTGTACACATTTTTTTATTTAATTATTATTTCAGAAAGAACCATATCTATGATTCAAATAAACCACTCTTAGTGCCTGCAGGTTCCGATTGTTTTGATAAAATAGATAACCTCAACGAAGCTGGAAGTATTAGGTCAATGCATAAGTACAAGAGCGTATTTGCTTCTAATTTTAAACAGGTCAATAACTATATTAATACATTAATACATCTTATATTATACTAAGTTAAATAGTTGTAGCAATACAATTACTTTAGCATGAAAAAAACAATTCAATACTACCACTTACTACCAATACCTAATACCTATTAAACTAAGTAAACCCGGATTTGTTATATATTATGGAGTAACTTATTTGCACAAGTAGATTTAGGTACCTTCGAAATTAAATCTTGCCTGCTGTGGTTTATCTGAGCTGATTGGAGGTGCTTCGTGCTTGCAACTTGAAGCAATGTAACTTAAGATTTTATAACTTAAAATTTGAAACATTTATGTTTAGTAAATTATTGTTATGAGCTACATGTCAAGTTTTATAACATAATATCTTAAATTTTATAATTATTTTAGAGAAATCTATGAATACATTCATCATTCCGCTCAGAAAACATCTTAAAAATAGCTTTGAAAATCGTTGTTAGGTACCTATTTTAACTTGAAATGTATTCCTATAACTAATACTTTTTTGATTTTTGAAATTTACTTAAACTTATTAGTTATTTTAACTGTTTAACATGCAAATGTTATGTCACTCATAATAATATATTTGAATATTAAATATATATTATGTATATGATATATCGTTAGGTATACACAATATTAAAATATTAAATGAATCAATAATTAATTTGTTTGAAAGTCAAGGTAATTGTGACCATAACATTACTAAAAAGAAATTTGGGATTGTTTTCTAAAATATATAAATCCACTAATATGATACAATGCTGTGCATTTTTGCTATAAGAAAGTAACACATTGCTTGTGATTTATGAAAATATGATGTTATATGTAGTATGTACATCCAGAAGGTTATTGTTTCAGCGCAGACGCAGAGTTTTTCTATGGAAATAAAGGTGGTGGCAGGTAGGTACTAAAGGCGTTTAACTGGTTTCTTGATATACACATTAATCATTTAAGCTATAGGCCATGCTTAAATTATAAATTATTGAAATGGTATAATCGTCAAGTCGACTATGAAAATTAGTATTCTTAAACAGCTTTTATAAAATCATGGCACATATAATTCTAATCTAGAAGATAGGGTACTGCCTATAGCAATGAGTTTGAAATTGAAGGTCAAGGTGTTGGTACAGTTGTTATCGTAAAGTTGATTTATTTTAGAATCTAATATTATATTTTAAGGAAATATAATGTAATGAACACGTACATGAACGTAATATTTTTATTAAATAAACATCAAATTAGTATTAGTTACAGCTTACATACAAGTATTATAAATTCAAATGTAGAGAAAGTAGGAAATTAGGTAACCAGTCTGCTGTAGCTACTGTAGGTGTCGAGTGGTACTTTGTTGTTCAGTAATTCACTGTAATGTATGTGTATAACTTGAGACTTCAATGATTGATCATTACATACGAAAAACCATTCTGTGCGAAGACCGTCTGTCAGCCTGTATTACTAACTATTAAGAATATTTAATATGTTTTTTTGATATTTCTATTAAGGTAATTTCGTTTCACTATTTCTATTACGGTTGGTTGATTTGATTACATTTTTTTAACTTCGTAAACACAACTTTACAATAATATTAATTACAATTATTATAATAGTATATATTTTTATGATTTATTATTGTTATTAACTGTTTAGTCTACTTACCTTAAAACGACACGAACAGATTCGTGGAAGAAGTAGGCGATAATAGCTTAAAATTAATCTAAATTTTTTAATAATGTCTTTGTGTAGGTATACACAATGTGATGATGTACACAAAAATTTGAAGTTCCTACGAATGATAGTTTTGAATTACATAAAAATAATTAAAATTGTTATCCTTCGTCTAAATATTTAATTTTGTCCAAATTTGAACTTCAAATGCTTAAAAAAAAATCATCGAGCCCACTTTGAAGACTTCTTTCTCAAAAACATATACATTATAACAAAAGTTATTAACATGTTTAATATTCTATTTGCACTTAAATTTAATTTCATTATCAAATATTTACTATTAGAATTTTAGTAAGGGGAACATATATTCATATTGATTTATTTTAATGGAGGCCAAGGGGTTACAATTAAACGACATGATTTCAAATATCTTACTAATTTTGTGGTTTTATTTAAATTTAATAATACATTAAATTAATATTATTTATATCAATAATCGTCAAACATCTGACACAAAATTAATGTTTTATAATAAATATAGATCGGATAGAGCTATAATATATAATATAATAAATTAATAAATAATAATTATACTTTTCTAAAAAATGTTTTCTTAACATAAATAAAAAACATTTATCATATACAGTTTGTTTATATGTTGCATTGATAAATAAATGTGTTTATCAAACATAGATTACTGATCTATGTTTGTTTTATTTATTTTAGCCTTTAAAATTATTTTTTACATTTATAGATGCCATTAGAATCTGGTATCACACAAGCACCAAGTACAGAGAATACAGATCCATTAAACGACCCCAATTACGCCGACCCGTTGATAGACGAATCGTTAAAAAAAAAACAAGAGGTTTGTGATAAAAATATTTCCATGACCGAATATATAATATTATTAGAGTTTTGACAATTTTTACATAAACAATTATTCGAATACCATGTTATCGAATAAAAATGGTTTGATTGATTTTTTTTACAATTATTTGAATAAATGATTATTCGAAAAATTATTTGAACACAATGGTTTTTTTAAAAAAATATTTCGTTAAATATTTGAAAATATTTCTAGTACATTTTTATTCGAATAACAATACAAAAAATGTATTCGAATAAATGTTATTTATATAAATAAAAATGTACTCAAATAATGCCCTACTCTAATATTATTATGATATTGTTGTAAACCAGAAAGATTTTCGTGATTAAAACATTAATGTTTTAGGAGCTAAAGCTGTTTGTGGACAATTATGAAAAGTTTTTGAACACTGAAAATACTAAAAACTCTTCGTAACAGGTATAAAACGTACAAAAAAACAAAACAAAACAAGGCAAGACGTAGGCACTAGGTACACATAAATATCATACATAAATACAACTTACAGAATATAACCTAACATGTCGATTACGTACAATTGAAACCGACGTGATAGAAATCGATGGAATAAATAAAAATATATTATAAAATAATATTGGTAACATAATATTAATCGTTTTACCTATACTCGTCGGACGTCCTGTAGAACGAGCGATCGAGTTGTCTCGTTTAAATAATATAATGTTAAACGTGCGAGTCATCGTTGTTACAATATTACTATATGGACAGGACTACTGTGCGGTGCCTAAGTCGAATCACTTTGAAGGACTCACATTCGATGACGTGACTTAGGCCTGAGTACTATAATATTATGTATCCAATATATAACGATGATGACGACGAGACGGATGAGTGGACCGCGCGAAAAGTTGTTCGCGCCGCCGCCGTCGTCGCGGGATCACTGTCCTCGCAGGAACTTCTTGAAGTACAACGGTATCTTGCGGAGTGGTTTGTTCATCATCCTCAGCTTGATGATGTAGTACGCGGCCAGCCTGAAGAACAGGCCGAACAGGGCCAGCCCGATGAACTGGTTGACGATCGACCGGCCGCTCATGCCCAGGTCCCGGAGCAGCAGTTCCGGGTTCTTGTAGTGGCAGTAAACGTCGTCGTTGTGGCAGGCCATGTCCGCTCGACTGTTGCCGAACAGCGAAGTGCACACGCCGACCAGCGCGTACCTCAGGAAGCTGGTGGCCATCAGCGACTCCATGATGGGCTCGATGGCCAGCCCGTAGCCCATTCCGTAGACGGCCAGCGCGAGCATCGGCGCCAGTAGTGCAGGCGTCATCACGGCGCCGGTCTGCCAGTTGCGAGTATGTAACAACAATTTCGTTCATTATTTATTGATACATTATCCATTAAAATTTGGTACGCTGTATGTCCATCGCTAATTCAGGTACCTACCCCTCTTTCTATATTTTTATTAAATTAAATTATAGTTTGTAAGACTGAGTTTTTTATGCATTTTTTTTCTTAATGTTGTATAATATTATGTTTTTAATTTTTATAATCTTTCCTATATTCGTTCTAAATTTGAATGATTCTAACTTTAAAATATTATATTAGAATATTAAATGCTGTTATTGAGCAAAATGCTTGTAGTAGTAACTAGTAATCAAAATAAATAATTTGTTTTACTTAAGAGAATCACCCTTTTTTCTTAAAATATGAAGCAGAAAGCAAAACTATTTTTATTTATTATCCTAACCTATATAATCGTTTAAGTTTAAGTTTATAGTATCTTGAACAATATTATTGTTCTACTACTTATTTTAAAGATATTTCAATTTTTATTCAGTTATAATAAAATAAAATATTTATAACAATGATGCGCAGTTATACACTTACACTTAATTTATATTGCTTATTTTCTGGAACCAAAGTTGGTTTCACTAAAAATCATAGACATTTTATATTGATAAACATGTTAAAAAGCAATAATTTTCTATACGATTTACGATTTTTCTTTTTTTTAATAATTGTTTTGTTACCTATATTAATACATATAATATACGTTGTATACATTTTTACTTACGGAATTTTTTACAGATGACCCAATGAGAACTCCCAATCCTTCGGATGTGTAACCAGTAAATAGTCCTATAGCCATAAACTCACTGAATCTAATCCACTCTATTGGTTGTGCAGACATAAAGTATACAATTAAAAGGAATAGCGATCCAAATATCACCTGCAAAGAAATGTAAAAGAAAGCACTATGTAAAATAAAAGTATGCAACTAATATTTTAAAACATAGGTAGTTAAAAATATTTACTTACCATGCTTGGTAATGATGTAATAGTGGATGCAATAATGTACGATTTGAGACTATACCAATGATTAAAGTATTCTCGCCGCAATAGTTTAACTTCCGACGGGACTATAATATGAAATAATTAAAATCAACAACCGTTATATTATAATATTTTATTAATTAATAATATTGAACTGTTTACTTACATGTAAGTACTGGACCCATAACGTGAGTATAAACAAAAAACACGATTACACTGATACAAAACTTGAAATTTTCAAATGGTCGATTACCATCTGATCCGATTCCATAGTAAATGCTTCCGAGAAGCAATGCCGAGAATGTATGATGGAAAAAAGATATCCACAGTCCAGTCTGCATATAAAATATTTAAAAAGAATCCATAAATATGGTAGAAGGTAAAAATTCAAACGTGATTGTTTCAATGAATCGCGTAGGTATAGAATATGAAATCTGGGATCAAAATAATGTGAAATGCTAACGATTTCTAAGGGGTTTTGTATTGGCAATTCCAAGAACAAAGTGAGAAAATGGTAAAATACTCGAGGATGTGAAAATGTTTCAGGTATGTTTTAACTTACGGTATTCCTACAGAATTGTTTGGTTTTCCTGGCCAACAGTATAGAGAACTGTGTACTGAAAGATGATGGATATTCCGCTTCGGATTGATCTACTTCGTCCACGTCATCAAATACCGGTGGTAATGTTATAAGCGTGTCGGTACGACCTAAACAATAAGTTATGTATAAAAAAATAGTTCGTTAAGAGTTGGGGTTACACTTACAAAGTTTGGAAGTTGCCATTCCATTTTCCATTTCATCTAAATCGTCACATAATATTACTTTTCCATTTTGAATTTCTCTCGTTAAGTCGACAATTGTATCGTTGTCTAATACCTCGAAAACTGTGAAAAAATTACATTATTTTAATGTTATACTCTGTCTGACACTGAGTTGTGTTTAATATAAGCACACACAGCACTGTTTTCCATACACTGTATTTGACCATTTGCTGGCTTTCATATTTTATAATTAAATAAATAATATTGTAATAGAGAGCAAAGTGACAAGATAGCTTTATGCATGACTAGCAAAAAACGTTTTATGGGTAATACGTTTAGCCAGCTGTGGTTAAAGCGCCCAATGCTAATGTAATTTTGTTAACAAAGTACACTTTATTGGAAATAATGATCCTTTTTTGTAGGATAAACTAAATTTGATCTTTTTTTTCTGCTCTTATAGTGGATAATATAATTCTACAGGCCGTATTGAACTTCGTTTTTCAATATTTTAATCTCTAACTTTATAATACTATGCCTTTGAAAAAAATACAATTTTAAGCTTTTTTAAAAATTGTTTTAATCCATCATTTTAGGTATAAAATATTTCCTCACTAAAGATGTATCTGGCAGTAGTTTAGTTGAAAAGTATTAAAATTAAGTTGGCATATAAAATATGAAATTGAGTCATGCTTTAAATTTGAAATTAAGAACTTTTAAACTCTTAACCCATTATAAAAATCATATTATAAATATGTACCATTAGCAGTTGCATCGAAACTTTTCTTGAGAAGTATTAACATTTTTAAGAAATTCATTAATTACTTAAATAATAACATCCGAAATAATATTCTGAATGGAGTTTACTATCTGTTCCTTATATTATAAACACAATGCCTCGTGCCTTGTGATTGCCAATGAAATTTATGTCATAAGAATACACTACAAGACATTTATTATATTGCTTGTCTTCTCAATATGAAATATAAGTCTAACATATTGCCTACTCATTATGAAAAAAGGGGACTGCTTAAGACGAACTACTTATGAAAAACATTGTATTACATTTTTAAATAATCTAAAAAAAAATTTGGTATTTTTCATAAAATACTTAAACATTTTATTTAGATGATAGATAAATGTTGATTAAATCTATTTAGGTATGAATAATATACGAATATACCTAAACAATCATATTATTGATTGTAAATTATGTATAAATGTTGGCGCTTTAAAAGAATAAATACATTCTTACTATTATTGTATATTTTTATTAGTTGGGTAATAATCTTAAAGGAAAAACTAGTAGTTGAACTTCAAGGCCATTTAGTTCATAACGTAAGTCTTAAGATTTTAAAAAAATCCAAATTTGTTCGATTTACTCCAAGGCTGTAACGGTTCTCAGCCATCTGATGTAATAATGAAATCGGTATAACTATCATGACTACTGAGATTTTTTTAAAATGTAATTGTTTTTAATCAATAAATTATAATTATTGCCTATAGTTGAGCAAAGTACGACTATATTAGTATATTATACGACTGTTACAATAATCATAAATTGGTTCTCTGTAATTAAAGCAGGTGCGTTAAAACTAATGAATTAAACTGGATTGATGGCGTTGACCGTTTTAATAAAAAAGATATAACAATATGAGAATTATAAATCTTAAAATGTCAATTATTGTACATGGACTGATTCTTATTCACCGTCCCTATCATAAAGTACAAAAGTATCGTATTCGCTACTGCACGAGCGACATTATTGGCTATCACACGATTGAGCATAAAGCATCTTTCTTATGATATAAAAAAAACCTTCTTGATTGAGCATGACAAATTGTGCAATGTTGCCATAAGACATGTCAAACAATTCTGAACTATGCATGATAAAAAAAAAAAACTGATTTAAATAATTACAAAAATACAAATATGATACGAGTTGAAAAATAACACGATTTCATCATTATATGCAACGTATTGTTGACCTGTTAATAATAATAATAAATACATAAATAATCAGGATAGGTGTGAATGTATCGCGAAGTTAAAATTGTTAAATTGTTATACCTTGGTGTCTGTTTCCAATTTATCTTAAATGGAATAATAATTGAATATTAAATAAAAGTTTGTTTATATTTAATTTAATTTCTTTAGCAGTTAGTAATTTTATGAAAATAATATGTTCAATTGAATTCATTTTATCCAGAGTTTTCGTTTTCAATTGGAGGAATACTCTAACGACAATGAATTATCCACATCTATAAACATAGTACACACAATATGGCTTTTCTTCTCTTTTTACTTCTCCGAAAATTGCCTCATACAAAATATAGACTCCATCGTCGATTTTCCTGGCGTAAGCCTAAACAATTGAATAACACATTTCAAAATGTCGATTTGAATGTAGAAATATCGCATAAATATTCTATGCCCAATCGTGTTGCTAAAAAGGTATATGCCGACATTACCGATAGGTATAATGAGCTGTATTATTTGCAGGTACATATTTTTGTCTTGACGTACCCAGCTAGATTATGGTAAAAGTTTAATAGCGATAATCCATAAAAGATATCAAAGATCATTCGTCTTAATGTAAAATATATTTTATCTGATAGTTGTACACATTAATATATTTCCTTAACAGTATACGACGTTGTTATTATTTTTATTTTGGTGTCAGCGTGCGAGATAACTCGTCAAGCCACAAATGTACATACTGTAATAGCTACATTATAATTATTATTATAGTATTATGGGCTATGGCTACAATAACTAGTCATTGTCATTGAGATGTGTTTATGGAATGTTATTCGATTCAGTGTGCATCTAAAGTACAAATATATGACGTCTAAGTCAGTTTTGTCAGAAATTTGTGACGTGGGACAAGACACATTTTGTCATTGAAAGACTGCTCGTTTTCGAAGAATACTGTAGACGTGGCAATAAACTTATTGTTCTTGTCACTTAAATTCTTAGGTATTGTTATGTTTAAACTCGTCAAATGTTTGTTAAATGCCTGTATACATCTCTATCAGGGTAGACACCACTTAGGATTTTTATAGAATCCATCACGACTTTCTCCCTCACCATTATCTATATGATTGACCCAATCATAACTCAACCAGTGGCCATCAAGTTCGGATCAAGATAATTATAGACCATACAACTTTTAGGGGCACATAAATATAAAAATCAAAATATTAGAACCTAACCCACAAAAAACATATTTTGAAGATAGGCAAAATAAAATTGTATTTAGCTATAGGTCCTTACTTTTTAAAATCTTCAATTTTTGCATTGATATTTATTATATCCAAAATATCACTTTCAGAACTCAAAATCATTCAATTAATTAAATTTTCCCTCAATGAACTGCTTGTTCTGAACTTGTTTTTTATATTATTATATTATAGAAAAAAACTACCCACCAGGAGCCCATTATTGTTCGATATCCTTGGTGGGCCCCGTTCCAAGCCACACCCTACTGGTCCCTTTACCAGGTCTGGTGTTCATTAACACGAAGATGACGAGCTAACAAAATAATCGTATAATTAATAGGGCTTCGTAATCCACGCGTACACGCTTTCACGTATTCACGTGAAAAGATTCCGATACATGTTATTGTGTTAACGTGTTTTAGCATATTTTATTAATTCACTTATATTAATCGCATACGTGTCTTATTTTATTAAATTCACGTGTTCACGATATCTGTGTAAACATATTATGTTTGCATAAAAAAGTAAGACCCGTAGACTAATATCCACGATCATTTTAGGGTTCGGATTTGTACTCGTTTGCATACGAGTAGGTACTTATGTAAAATTATATTTACAGAAAATTTGGCCATTTTCGGGGCATACACGCGTGTTTCGTGTCATTTTTTTTAGTGCACACAAATCCGTGCCCAACAGTAAAAATCGAAAATCGAGAGTAAAATATTTAATCACTGGCACCGTACCGAAATCTGCTGGGTTGTGTGTGGGCTTGCAGACGTGTCCGACCTGTGCCAGGAACGGCACCAATTGTTTTGGCGACCCGTTGTAAATACAAGAGCCTCGGGCCAGCATGTACACGTGGTCGAACATGTGGAATAACGACGAGCTGGGCTGATGTATGGTGCACACCACGGTCCTTCCTTGTTTGGCGAGATCGACCAACAGGGTGACGCACTGCTTTATCGCCACAATGTCCAGCCCACTATGAATAATACGGAGGAATAGGAAACACAGTAATATTATAATATGCATAGTAAATAGTATACAATTATAAAATATGAAATATAATATTATTATTATATCTAAAGTTATTGGTAGGTATACACACGATATTTGTCGATTTTCGACCTTGACAATCAAAACTTGTTTTAGCGGTCGAATGAATATTTAGCTGTAGCATTAGTGTGTAATGAAAATATCACATGTAGGTAACTTGTATTATATTATTTGCGCACTATCTCTAGAAAGCTGTCTGAAGCATGTTCTGTATAGGTATATCTACTGCGGAGTATGCGAGTACTACGCGTCTCATATTATTATAAAAATCACGACTGTATCCGTATACTGCAAAAATGGTATATAAAAGATTTTTACACTTTCTAGTCACCCTGTACCTAACAATATGTAAATAAGGCTTCAATCTATTCGCGCAGTCATATTTTATATTTTCGCATACTCCAAGAGTTGATCGGATACACTACCGCGCATAATAGCTGGTAATAAGTAGGTTATAGTTGGAATTTGGCACGAAACATAGCCCCTATCACAAGACCTCCAAGTCGACGAACTTCAACTACTATTTTGTCATTTTGTCCTGATATAGTAACTTAGGCGACCAATTCGAATAACATAATATGGTGTAGTGAGACAATATTCGATTGCGGATTTTAAAAAATTCAGGAACGCGGTGTAGGTGATTAATGTTTACAAAATTTTAATATTATTATGATTTGTGATGGATACTCACGTGGTGGGTTCATCTAGAAATATCACCGGCGGATTGTTGACCAACTCGAGGGCCACGGACAGACGTTTGCGCTGACCTCCGGATAATTTCTCCACATACGTGTTACGGCACACCGATACCCCTAAGAGTTCCAGCACCTCGTTCACCTGCAAGACAGAATTAATTACCTGTTTAGTGTATACATAGCTCGTGATGCGCGAGTAAGTGATCATGTGGCTTAGTAGTTGACAGTGTTATTTTATCGGAATTATTATCACGTACGGAATGGTCTATGCGTTACATCTAAGACTGCGTAAATTGATGTTTGGGGGATATGAAATACAAAACGAATACACACCAAAATCAGTCTTACATTACATTGTAGTCAAATATACGTTTTTTAATAGGTATATTAATAGTAAGAAATTACAAATTCAAAACAAACTTAGTTACAATATACGTAAGAAGATGATTAAGAGAGAGCTGTGGAAGATACCATTCAATAATTTATAGTAATTATATGACATACTGAGCTGCTGCTAAAAAATACAATGTTAAAGTTAGATTATTACAGAGTTAGTTAACTCGCCCCACTCGATTAAAGAAATTAAAGGTTTTAATAATGATAACTGATTAGAAATTATAATAAATATAAATATATTTTTTTTAAATTCACATTATTAATAATTATTTTAGTTTTATAATCAAGTGTAATGATTTACCTCAACTATACTGTAACATACTAACATGTCACCCCGACCTAGGGCAACGTGTTTCGGTTTATGTTTCTATTTACATTTTTCAATCAGCTACTTAATCTGTTTATTTTACAGTGATTTGAGATGATTAAATTGGTTACAATATGTTTGTTTATTAAATTTAAATAACAGATCTTGCGATTATATTCATTGATTATGAGTAGTTTACAAAAAAGTACAAATGTATCATTTAGCCCTTTTTTCCCAAATTTTACTTTTACGGTTTGACCTATACCTAATACATAATTATATATTTTATTTATTTATCTGAACTATAGTTAGCAATCATGATTTATAATTGACGAAATCAATGGCGAGTCAATTTTTTTTTTTACATATTTTGTTGTATATAATTGATGATAATATCTGCTTACATATATTTAGTGCATTATACCTAAATCCTTATCGAGGCTATTTCCCGTGTGTTATCCACCATCGTAAAGTCCAATATATTGTCAAAATGTTAATATCCGCATACGTGTTAAAGCAATACAAAATTAAAATGTGGTTTTATTGGCATTGAGGAAATACAAGGTTTTTAAAATATCAAATAATACAGGTTAAGTTTTGTTGAAGTTAGGAAATTATTATGTTATACTCCAATATATGCCTGAAGCTGTATATGATTTAGGAGTTTGTCGAGTTGTTGTTTAAAATTGTACTATTTGCAATGCTAATAATGAACTAATAATTTCTAGCAAGAAATTTAAAAGTTATAGAAATGTAGGTTTACCTATCTATATTAATTGTAGCCAAACAGAGATATTAAAGTAAAAATATATTATCTTAATTTTTTAGACATAGATATAACGTAATACTATTAACTGGGGGAGAACCTACCCATATAAAATATAATATAATACCATTCAGAAATAATCTGTTTTAGAGTTTATAACTGTTCAATATCACACACATACCGTTCATAACAGCACATTATACACAATCAATACCGCACACATTTCAATCAGATGATTGATAGTTAGAAATCATATAAATACCTACTCATTATCAGTATTAAATAAATTGTCGTAATTAATAATTGCATTAATATAAGTCAATAAAAAATATAGATATAAGATAAAATAAAATAGGTATCAGAGATCTAATATTTAGATTGGAGTAATTTATTTATATCGAAGAGTTTTCAAATAGTCAATCAAAGTTATTTCATCGTTTATGAATTGATTATTACACATATTTTGAAGTGGCTATTTCTTTATCCTCAATCTTTAACTTAACGTGTAGTGTGTACGGTTAATTTACTCTTCGGTGCAGTGCCGTGCTAACTATTCAATGGCGCTCCAGGGTAATAATTATTGGCACCTCCGTTAAACATATACATATTTAAACATTTGCTTCCCTTTAAAGTGTTACAACTTTTGACGGACGTAGCCCATTCGGCTTTCGTTTTTCCTAAACGGCTCCCGTCTTTCAAAAAGGTCAATTCCCAAACGGCTCCGGTTAAATAATTCGTCATAATATTATATTATACGCAAGCAACGGCGGCGATTATGACGCGCTAGCCGATTATACGAGTGAGTATAATATAATATAATATAATATAATACATTTTGGTATAGAAATTATGTTCAATGTTTTGGTATTTTCGACATTATCAATTTGTCCTATATTTTTGGTATTCCATTTTAATAATTAATTTTTAACTTAAAAGTACGGTATACCGATTACTGGTATATCGTCTTCAAATCGGTATACCAGTATTGACATCAGCAGTTTGGGAATTTACTTGTCCGTAAAAGATTTTTCAAAGGGAGCCGTTTGGAATGAACCCCATTTGCCACCCTTTGCCACGGTTATAATTTGGCGCCTTGTCGTATTTTAGATAAATGTATGAGTTATTGATGCATTTCAGCGGGTATGGCATTGAACGGTGTGATTTTGGGAAAAATGTGTGGCATTAAATACATGGACGTGTGCGGATTTGAACGATGACCTTATTTTTTGAAGTGTGCGGTTATGATGACCGCCAGTTATAGAGATTACACTCTAAGGTGAATAAATAATAATTAGGTAGTGATCTATAATTTAGGCTTACCTATAATATAGGTACCGAAACTAAGTCCATTAGTATGTATTATAATTATTGATCGTATTAAGTATAAAATTGAATAAATTGCTTATAATTTTCCTGTATGACATCATGTTTATATATAATTGGTGGTTATCTAGAATAATTTTCTATGAAAATCCGTGAGTAGTTTACTAAAATGTAGTTCGGAAAAATGTAAATGAATCTCAATATTGTGGTTTGAAGATTTAATTTTATTATGCTCCTGAATATTTACCTATTTCATATAATTGTTAAAATGTAATATTAACTTGTTTAAAAATATAAATAACTTTAATCTAGTTTTAATAAGTCCTTTTTTGAACAAAAATATCCTGTAAGTTAAACTTAACCTAACCTAACCTGTAGGTAATGCTAATAATATCACATAACACATTTTTGAAATTTTTTTCTTAGAGCATTTCAGTAACAACTATTATAGCTGAACATTATAAAATATAAATGTATGTTGTATATAAATAGGTAGAGATACGCCATACTATGATACATCTACATAAGTTAATAGTTGTCATTATTTATGAAGCTCTCCACTGATCAGGTGTTGTAATATTTTTCTCAGTGATGCGTCTGCGGGAAAACACGGTAATTATCATTAGTTTATTACTAATATAATTTTTTTTGTTTATCTATTAATAGTATAAGTGTAGCTGTGTAGGTAACCTCACTTTGGTGTCAAAATGTCTAATTAAGATGATAAATAGATAAATTTATTTTATCGAGTAAAAGACATATTTATCATGTTTCATTTTAAATTTTGGGTATAATTCAATTTTTCTGGGAGGAAAAATGTTCCGTAGGCACATTGCATGTACTAAGAATTCATTAAAATGTAAACATATGACTTTTAATATATTTAACAATAAATATTTTAGAAGAACAATCTGAATTTTTATAATTTTTTAACTGTTCTTGATACTTTACTAGGTACTAAGTTTATTATTATTTTAAATTTAGAACTATTAATAGTATACTATATTATTAGGTAAGTAACATTATTTTGAATTATTTGAATAATATTTCTTGTGGTGAAAGTTACGATTCAGCACTAGTAAGTGGTGTGTTATAACTTGTATTAAAGATTGTTTCAAAAACAAGCATTAACAGCATTTTTAGTTAGTTTATCCATTCCATCAAATGTTAAATAATTATGTCATTTATATGGTTAATAATAAATAGTTTTTAATAATATTTAAAATGAAATATAATTTAAAAACAAAAGATTAATTCGATTCTATGATATAATACGGCATGTACATTGTACTTGTACATTAAATGTATATTGTATATATAACAATGATAAATAAAAATAAAATTATAAATACAAAATAAAAAAATAAAATATATAGACTTGTTTTAAAAATCGAAAAACATAGAAATAAATTAAACTGAATACTAGAAATATTTTCTTAATAACAATTTTTTTGAACTTGAAACAAAGTATGAGTATACCCAGGTCCCAGACCATTAAGTTAATTAAAATAGATTATATTATAGGTTATACAATTATATAGATATTATTAATGAAAAACAGCTTTAAAAAATAATTACCCAGGCACCTACATCAAATGTGTGGTGATTGCACATTTGTCAAGGCCCATTTCAAAATAACATCACAAGTAATTTAATAAATGCAAACTAAATGAAATATATACATTTGTCCATTAGTTGCTGTTGAAGTATACAATATTTCGAGAAAAAATTTAATAGTTTACGTAGAATGATGGACATTGCTCATTAAGTGTACCTATACTTCTCAATACTCACTGAAATATTATTTACATGGTTTTTATTAGTACCTATTATAAACTATTATTTATTTTATGAATGTACATACACGTATTTATCGATGGTAATTTATGTATTAATTTTAATATATTTCGCAAGTCTTATTGTAACGTATAAAAATAATATTAACGAAGGTACCACTATAGACCGTAGGTACATACGTTTCAACATTCATCATATTATTATGTTGGATCCTAGATATCTTTCTAAAAAAAAAAAGTAGCTAAAAAGTGTTTTAAAACGGATTTTTTTCTCATAACACAAATCAAAAATAATAAAACATAAATATAAATATTTGCGCAAATACAAAATTGATGTACTAGAATCATTTTGGTGAAAAATCCAAACATAATATTATATTGAGATTATTTCGTATCATCGGGCTAATTATAGGTGTCATCTGTTTCACGTATTATAAAATTCTTAAGTCAAGCTTAAAATTCGGGATGTATCATCTAGAATTATTACCCTGTAAATTTAGTATTTCGACTAGCGAGTTTCACGCGGTTGTTTTTACAAAGTACTTACTCTGCTTTGTGTCATGATTCATAAACTTTAAAGACTCAAAGAGAAAATAATCTTATTTTTGCAGTCTCGCTCACTATTATAAACATTATCATAATTGTCTACTATTGAGCGTGTTACTGGGAGATACCAAAGCCTGCAGCGTCCGTTTTGAGGTATGTATCATAATTATTTTTTCCTTGTACTACCTAGGTAACCTAATCTGTTTTAATCTATTATTTAGTAGGTAATTTACGTATCGACGTTGGATCGTAAATGAAAAATGTCTGTGATGATATTTTGACCATAGGTGTGATCATAGATAAATCCTCCAAATAAATTTCTATCCGGATTTTGGTTTTAATATTACCTAGGTGTATGTTAATTATTATAATCCGCAGCCTTATTCGATGTATAAATAACACGTTTGATAATGCTATCCATATATTATATTATGTATGTGCAGCATGGGTCAAGGCAATAACTATAGATTGAGTCCTTAGATCGAAAACGGGTATATCTTAGGCCCCGTCGCTTGCGAATATTTACTCCAAATGTGTGTACATAACATGTATATTGCGCTTTTCCTTGGTCAAATAAGATAATACTTTTACAACCACAAATCATGATATGATAAGCAAGTGTTTATTGCCGAAGAAAAGGTACACACGAGTTGTGAAACGTACCTGTACACACAGAATATAGGTACCAGTTTTTTCACCCTTGAGAAAATAATCAACACCATAACGACGATTGAACAAACATAGGTAATCGTTTTCATTTTCACTTCGTCACCATCAGTTTTATTATGGGTAGATAATTTGTTCAAACAATCAGTATAGATAATTTTAAAATTCCAATCGTAAGTTCGTATTTGATTAATAAATCATATTACACATGGGTGGGAATGCATAAAAAAGTATTATGTTTTGTCTCCAAGTATATACCTATATTTATCTATCGAACTGAAAATGATCGTAGAATTTATATCAGTTACATCCTGTATTATCTTTACAATAGAAATAATTTTATTTACGTCTGTATAAATGCTTATATTATATTTAGCGTACATAAATTAATTAAAAATATGTGCTGTATTATAATTATGGATGACATTTAAATATTTTATTGTCATATTTGCATTAAAAAAATTATAATGTATCACCTAGGTATATAAATGATAATTATACCATTAAAAATGATAATTATAGTTCAGTCATAATACAAATTAATATTATATACTTACAGCTTTATCTTTGTCTTCTTTAGACAATTCACGGCCAATTTTTAATCGAGCTGCGTAACTCAATGATTCTAAAACTGTAAGTCTGGGTTGAAGCAGATCTTCTTGCATTATGTAACTGGAAAGTTTTTTGAAAAGTTGCATATTCCTGGGATGACCATTTGTAAGAATTTGTCCTTTTATGTCACTTCTCCTAAATTAATAGAAAAAAAATATTCATTTTATACATTGTAAACGATTAAACCAAATTAATTTAAATACGGAATTTTCATTAATATTTTTAATTGATAAATATTTTAGATGTAAATGGTATAAAGTATTAACAGTGAAGTTGTTCAAGAGTAGGCATCTACTGAGTTTTAGGTAATTTATGGTCTTTAGACGTTATTAAGCGTTTTCGACAAACTTATTCAAAACAAAGAATATCATATACATCAATTCAAATTAGTATTTATGTATAGACTTTGAATTTCGTTTAGGTTATGTTGATTAATTGAACGGATTTCAAAGTTTTCCAAGTACTCATCAAGAAGATAAAAAATAATATTTTTTAATATATCGTATATATATATATGTATAACTTCCTATGTTTATATGACTTACTAATATATTCAATAAGGAAATAAAAAACTGATCCAAAAATAAAATTGATTTCATCTTATAAATAATGTTAAATTTCTAATCAAGTATAGGTACTTAAAAAACAGGTAATCCAATAATTATCGACTCAATGGATTATTGGTTGGTCCTTGATCGGGCAATGTGAACGCTCAACACGATCATAATATAGGTTTGTGGCCATTATTTTTTTTTCTTTATAGGAAACTAACGAACAGCTGATGACCTACAGAGGTTGGTATCAAATGAATAAACCACATATCAAGCGTAGATCTCAATGCAAACAGGAAACTTACACGTATCCAGCGAGTATGTTCATCAGCGAACTCTTCCCAGCACCGGAAGGACCCATAATGGCGGTCAGGTGTCCCGAACGAAAGAAACCGTTTATGCCTTTCAATATTGTTCTTTGTCCTATAAAATGGAATTAATATATAATTATTATGCTAAACAAACACGATTTAATTCTTTAAAATATTTTAAAATAGCCCAGGGTGATTTATTTAACATAAAACGCTCATTATTTCAGAATGTTAATTGTTTAATTAAGACTGAGCTCTTGATTAAATTAGGTATTGGAGTATTCCCGACTATTAGGTATGTTTGCATTTTTGTTTTCTCCAGGCAATTGTACTCTAAAAATGTCACATGGCATACCTATAATATGATTATATATCAGGACAAATTCTGTATAATAAAGAGTATCTATTTATTATTTATAGGAAAATGCATGATATTTTTGAAATAATTACATTCTCACTATACTTCTCAACAATAACTCGCCCAACTATCAACACATATCAACTAAAATATATGTTATGTAAGTAATGTATAAAAAATTCAATGTCAAAAACTCAAAGAATATATTATACTGGTTTATATTATAGACATTTTAATATTTTATTGTTCTACGACAACCATTCTACATATCATTACCATAAATATAGAATAATGGTTGATAGATGGAAGTTGACAGTAGTTATATACATTTGCTACCTTTTGACCTGACATTTTAGTACAAGGTTATTTTGTATATATATCCACTGAAAATATATTTAAAAAGTCTATAATACTTTTGTGAACATTGTTTTATGTACGAATTAAAAATAAAAATGTAATATCCATCGAACTATCAACTCACGAAGGTCTAACGTTAATATTGTTGTTTTTAAATTGGGCATGATGACTTTTTTTGCTAAATTATCCATAAATCTGTATTGGACAATTTTAATTTATGGACCTACAATTATTTATTATTATTCTGTCAAATTACCCGTGTTCAGAACGTTCACTGAAAAATGAATTCATTCACGTTCATGTTCATGTTTTTTTCAAATAAACGCATTCACGTTCACTGGTTCACTGTAAAAATGAATGCGTTCACTGGGTGATTCATTCATTTTTTTTTAGATATTTTAAGAATAAGAATTTTAACTAGAAAATGTTATTATAATATAATAAATCAATTTATTTTAAACATATTTATTTATTAAATGGTAAATAAAATGTCTTAAAAATTCGTTAAAATATAAACGTCATTCATGTTCACTTTCAATTTGAAAAAAACGAGTGAAATTCGCTTATCGTTCACTAAATATGAACATGAACTTGTGAAAGTGCGTTTATGAAAGACGTTTTTTAAAAACACTGCAAATAACAAGGGTAGTTGATAAAATTACATTTTAAAACATATCTATTTCCAGAAAATATTTATACAATTTTTTTTTTTTATTAGCTTTTTGTACAACAATTATAGCTCAATAATCATGGACAATTTATACTATTATTTAAATAAAATTGTATAGGTAATAGGTAAGCTGTAAAATAATATAATAAAAATACGACGTTATAATATAATTAAATACATTTATGATAAAGTATTTAAATATAGAATTTTGAACAGTCTTCTCATGTTTGATTTCGATTTTTGGAGACAAAAAAAATATTATTATAAATGATTATTTGTAAAGGACCTACTTTTTACTGATCACTACTTTTTTTTAAACTAGAATACCTACATAAATAAAACGATGGATATAATGTTTTGTTTTATATGTATATTTTACCTTTATTATGCTGCATACATTTTCAATCTATTTCTTTTTGAAGTACATGACTTGTAGAATGCAATGAAAAATACGAGAGAATCATTTTAAATGTACTTATACAAAATTATGGTAACTTAGAGTGTATTGAAAAAGATAATATGTTAAAGGATAATATTTTATTATTAACACAAATAACTTGATTATTTGTTTCTCATTTTAAATGTTGTCACCTTGTATAATATTTACAATGCAATAAATTGCTTTTATTTTATAAATACAATTTTAAAAAATGAAAAAAAAAGTAAAAATGTATAGTACTCGTAATATCCAACCAAAACAAAATTGATGAATATTAATTTAATATTATAAAATCGGTAGGAATATGTTTAAACCTGGTTCTAAAAACAAATTAATGTAAACATTTTGATCAGGGTCAGAATGATGAATTGTTTTTTTAATTTAAAATATAAATTTGTTCAAATATGTTTTTAATATAACAGAAAAACATAAATTTGAATATTCAACACTTGAATTTTGATTTATTATTTTTGTTGTCGTATTCACTATTATCGTTTATTAATATCATGGAAAGTGTTCAGATATCTACTGATTATGTCAACAATAAAAATCATTATTTTTTGATACATTCCGTTATCTTGTTTAACTTGAAAAATATAATTCTGTGATTTGTACCTAACCATTTAAGGTAATATTGTTGGCGTAAAAGAATATTTCCTACAGATTTATGAAATCACGGGAACAATCATACAACTCAATGATGATTAATGAGTAGGTATATGTTAGGTTAGCATAATAATAATTTACTAAATATGTTTTTAACATTAGAATATAAACTATTAATTATCTTGAAACTTTCGAATTTTTGTTTACATTTTGAAGGCTTGAATTTAATAACATATGAAATGATATTTACTTCAAATGAAAATTATCGGTTCCTATTAAAAGTATTTAAAATATTTTTTATTTGAATGTAGGTTGGCATATCAGTAATCGATATCGTTTGTTAGTTTGAATAGAAATTCAAATTTCGATAAATTAAAAACGAACATGTCTAGACAAAAACTTATATTTGTAGGCATAACGATACAGATAAAAATAATCACACATTTAATAAATGTAAAAAGTATAAACTCTGCAAAAAATGGTTAGAATGATATTTATATCGTTCCAGTATGAATCCAAGGTCGAGGGCGCTAAAAAACTGGTTTTCAGATGGTAAATGTTTATTTATTTTAAACCAAGCAAATTTGCACATCGACTATCAATGAAAAAAAAATGACATTCTAGCAATTTTAATCGGATATATAAGTATTGATTTTTATATAATTAACCACTATCCATAAATAACGATCATCAATAGCACTATACAATATTTATATAATACTGTAGGTACTTACTAAGGGGATAATTAAATACACAATAAAAGTATTACCCACCATATACATACGAATTTAAACGATAATTAATCGATTTTTATAAATACAAAAATATCAATTAGCCTATAATTAATAAAAATAAACTATTGAATATTAATAAGTAATTAGAAAGTAATAATTGCAAATTATTGGTTTAACTCGTACATACTTTTCAGAGATAAACTAATATTGCTTCAGAGACATGATATTATTTATACATTTCTGTTCAGTTTGATATTATTATAGATTATAATAATATAGTAATATTTTTTTCTTATATATTTTATAACTATTAGATGAATCAAATTAAAATACGCTTGTTTGGTGATTGGTATTTTTTAACGATTTTCTTAAACCCTTGTCGTATTTTAATTATTTGTAAGTACGAACACATATTATCTATAATTTAAACCGTATATATTATAATAACAATTATTAATTACCATTAAAGGCTTGATAAACGCATTTCGAATTGCTAATTTTTTTTCAGAAATTCTACATATTATACCTAAACCCATAAATTACAACGTTCCAAGTGTAAAATAACATACCTAGCTATTATAATAATAGATTACAGACTGCACAAACGATTATATTCTACTTTTAATATATATATAGGTACAATGAAGTTTATGTTTGTAGTGGACACCTACCTTTAAAAGTTGTTAGTCATTTTTTTTTCGTGGTAAAATTATTACGTATTATTATGGATCTTTAATATTAAGGAAAAATTGTTCAAGGACATTTTTGATTCTTACAAAGCGTGCTAATGTTATCACAATGATACTGCCTTATAATGATTATAATATAATATATACATATACCCATACATTTAATAATAGCTTGGAATTAATTGAGCAATTAAAATTTTTTATTTTTATATTTTTCGAAATTATAATAAAAATATCAAATCGCTTATTATACAATAATTTATAGCAAGACGATGTTATATACTTTCAGCAAGTACTCAAATTATATGTACCTACATTAAACTTGATTTATCAATAATATTTTAATATGTAGTTACCACGTGCCTATACTATATTCAATTATTGCAGTATATTACAGTTACAATTTTTACTTAATTTTTAATTTTGATATAGTTAAAATAATCCTTATGTATAGTTATAAGAACACTAAATGGTAGTATAGTAAAGACTTTTATCAAAAATAAAACTACTACCAAAGTACGAAAATAACAATATTGTAAATAAAGAATAATATTGCCTATATTAGGTAGGTCTCATTCATGTTTTGTTTTATTACCTTGCTACGAGATAATATGTCGTACACAATTATGATATAGTAAATTGCAAATCGATAAAAAATGTAATTTCTAAAAATAAAATGTTTTACACTAAAACATATGAAAAATCATTTATAGGATTTTGATTATCATTTTAGTATGTAAGGACAAGTTCGTATATCTGCATGTATGTATATTGTAAAAAACCCTGCTACTACAGGTCGAATATAACAACAAATATCGAATTAAGCAATTGCAGAGCTTGTCTTAGTTTTCCCAAACTCTATTTTTGTACTCTTTGATTTTTAGTGAACTCTAATGTTTTTAGTAGACCATCATAAGTGCGATTAATATAAGGATGATCACCTGACAACGATTTAAGTTTCAATAGCTGATAATGATAATATATATCCATCAATTATTACTATTTTTACTTTCAAGTTGATAAACTATCACCTTTAGACACTTGTTTTATACTAAATAGATAAAATTTGACGACAACTAGAAGAAAATAGAGAAACCTAGTGATGTTTGCCACTTTCGAGCGGACACGATATAGAATGTCTCCCGAAACACGAATACCTAGTAAGTTAGTCACCAGCTTGGATTATGTCGTGGAATTGTTTCCAACTTGACTCCTATTTGTCGCAGATTTATCGGAAACCGAATATTATGTTTCTGTTTTATCGGGTTAGTCGTAAGTCTGTCATAATGGATTAGTATTTAGTATATTATAAATATAGAATTGATGAACATTTTTATTCAGAAAAATTTCGAGAAAATGCTTAACGCTATTGTTACCTGTACTTTTTTAAACAATAGTAAAATTAAACATGCACAGGTCAGCATATAAATATCGTCAACATAATATTATTAGCACACGTCATTAGTGTACACGTGATCTATAACAGACAAGGCTGTAATATCAAAACATATACATTTGAAGTGCTTTAATTATTTTACCTGATTAAAATGGACGACAACCGTCAATGTGTTTTATAAGTTAAATCTTTTTGTGTTAAAATTGTTTAAAAATGTAATGTAATAGGACTTATATGTCCACCGAACGTATAACATCGGTATAAAAAATTTGTAAAAAATGTTATACCAAAATAATACGAGTTGGTACTATTTTATGTTTCATAATCCCAATATTTCCACATATTTTCATTCAAATTTTGAGATTGTCTGACTAACTTTGTTTTGAAATAATTGTTGAGATAGATTAAAAGAAAATATATATTTAAGCTAGGACGGCCACTGACCATAATTAAAAAAATAAAAAACAGGACTAAAATAATATTTATGATATTTTTAAAATTAATACAATTATATAAAATTATAGTTTTTTTGTTAATTTTTAATTTTTGTAAAAAAAATTACATAATATATACTATATACGTGGAGCTTTATATTATTATATAATATACATACAATATACGTAAGTTCACCGATATCGATTATTTTTCATGAACACAATCGCTATCACTGTCATAATGTCATTATGTCATTATCAATAACATGATATGTTTGTCAACAAATTCAAAAACAAAATTAAATATGTAAATAATAATAATATTCGTATAATACTACTTATAAATTAAAATAACGTAAGGTGAATTGTATATTTATACATATTAATAAGAATTAATACGGAATAATTAGGATCGACATAAAAAACAATACAAAAAGCGTCTCAAAATAAGTTAACAGGACACTGAGTTAAAATAAAGGATAATACTGTATAAACAGAATGTATGGTCACCCTAATTTAAACACCACTAAGCTTTTATATAAACGAACTGTAGGTAGGTACGCAAATTTGATGTGGGTCAATATTTATTTTAAACTATTTAATAACTTGAATCAGTTGATGCTATCGAATTATGAATTTAAAAAAAACAACAACAAAATCCTTAAAAGTGTGGGTATGGAATTATATTTAAAAGTTTTTTAATTAACTTGACAGTTGAAATTAATTTTGAAAAGTTCGGTAACATAATTCATATTTAGGAATAAATCAATCTGTGTAAAAATGTAAAATAATCATACAAATAATGTTCGAAACGTTTATAGTTTATTTTTCAATGATTTGCGATACACTTGGTTTGTTTAAGTTCAGTTTTATAATTTGTTTTACAAGTGAAACTCGAAAAAATTAATCTAACCGAAAAAATTTACCATCATGATTTTAAATATTTATTCACGTAATTTCTAACATTATAGTAATATAACATACTCGTTAATGTTGTCATTTAGGTAATTATTGTTAATTAACGATTACTTTTCATAATAACATGTTATAGGAACTTAATTCTGACACCCTAATCGTTTTTTTAAAAAGAAAATCATGTTTAGTACAAAAATTTAAATCTAAGTTGTGTAAACTAGTTAGGTACTCTTTAACTAATGTTGAACTAATTTTCGTTGAAAAATACTAATAAATGTGTAATTTCCTTGTTAATATTATTGTCGTACTCTAGGTAATTTCAGGAGGTCATAGCTGCTTAATATTGAAATTTTGAATTAATGAAAACTTTTAAAACTGTCAATTATTCACTAACTATCATAATGTATTTATTGCATGTCTTACTAACGTGATATTAAGTAGTCGTATTTCGTTTCACTTTTGCAAGAATTAGCTCAATTATTAGTTATATACCTCATACCTATCGCTATAGGGTCTTATGCGAAAGTTACCTATTAACTATCTATAGTTAATATAATTTAGGTAGAGGCACGCTATCGTATAAAATGTCACCTTTGCGAAAATATAATTTTAATATAACTGTTATAACGGGACTTTACTTATAAAATTAATATTTTAAGTGACGTCGACTATTAATTCTTTTTTTTTAAATAGATACCCACGTACAATACAGGCACCTACCTCCCAATCGATAGACCATGTGTATCTGATTAAAATATTCTAACGGTTATGCGATACAGGTACGACGGCGATTCCTCGTTTTTATTATATGAACTCGTACGTCATGTCGTTAACGTGATGTAACGAACAATGGATATTTCGTTGACACCGGTGTCTGAAATTTCTCGTTGGTATATTGTTACCGCGATCACCAGCATTATATGTTAGAAATTTCTATTGAATAATAATTATCTAATTTTTTTGTCCTAACGCGACGCTTATAACACGCCGGATATATAATAATATACAAATTATTATTATTATTTATTGGTTGTTTTCGATTGACGTTGCACTTCCGAGATGGGGAAAAAAAATTACATAATAACGACTAAACGACAACAACAACAATAATGAGACATATTTTACAAGCCGTAGACATAATATTATACTCGTCTACAGTGCAGAGTAAAGACAGACAATGCAGATCAACACTCAATTGGAGGGGGGTATAGGGGCCATAGGCCTATGTCCCGGGGTACTGTAAACTAAGGGCGTTAAAATGAGGGCTTAAAAAAAAATATTTAAAAATACAAAAAATCGTACCAATATATGATTATTACTATAGGTTATGCAAAAATATTAATTCCTAGTCGAATTGAGATGGATATTTTAAAACTTAGGGGCGCCAAAACTCTTATGGCGTTATGCAGGGTTTGCTAAAAAAATTGGTTACAATTAATGGTTTACTAAAATTTGACGGACCTATCATGGGCCCCTAACCATTTTTAAGGGATCATCAGCTCACTTGTGATTTAATGAATGCTTACACTCTGTCTAGCGAGAGATGGCGCCACGACGAAAATCGGTTCTTCTGCTCATTATGGAGCCGGTCTCGATGGGGGTCATGTGGAGATGCGCAGAATCAGTGAGTCTCTCACTGGACAGAGTATGTGGATACAGGTGCCTACGTGTAATATCTGTTATCGCGAACAACTCACCCGCTGTCGTGTTGACGGCGTATGTCAGGTCGTGGAATTCGATGTCGACGGCCGGTCTCTTCGCCTTGTGCGTCAACGTCTTCATGTCGACCCGGGTCGGGATCCTGGTAATCGGCCTGTCGGCAGACACACTGAACACCCTCGTCCTGGACGCATCGACCAGAGGCATCTCTTCCTCGTCGTCGGGCAGCACATCGTCGGTACTGCCGGCGGACGAGTGGTTGTCGTCGTCGTCTTCGTCGTCGTTGCGATTACCGCGGTTACCGTGGACGCCACGGTTGTCGATCGTCGTCGCCGCGAACGAGACGGTGCTCTGCATGCGATTCATCGGGGTCCGCGGTTGTTCGTCGTCGGCGACCATGATCGCGACGATAGTGAAACTTAAGCGAAGTGTTCAATAAACTCTAGGTGATAATAAAATATAAGGTGCGACGGTATAACGACGAAAATATCGAGCACGGTTGGAGTGCGCGATCGGACGGCGGGTCGTGGTGACGGTGTTCGCGAATTTTGCAGTCGCACTAAGGATAACTCTGTCGGTCCGCCAAATGAGCAGTGACCGGTTTCCGTATGTCTATGGTCACGCGCACAGCATCAGCGCGTCTGCCGAGAGTGTAACGATATATTATTGCGGAGTCGCGTGGTCCGGCGGAATGAACTAGTTAGTCGTCGGCCGGCAGTGCGTGCACTTGTTGCTATTTCCGCCGCCGCCGCTGCCGCCGCCGCCGCCGCCCCACCGTAGTGGTATTACGATACACGTGCAATAGTTTTATCATTTTATGTTGTATCGTTGTACGTAGGTACTGTTCTAGTACCTACGGTCGTCGTTGTTATTGTTGTAGTAGTAGCTTGGTTTTGTTTTGTCTTTTTCCACGGAAACCTGTTATTAAGCCCGTAGACGTTCGCGTAAAACAAAAAGAACACTATTTTACGTTATACATATATATTATTATACAGGGTGACCCCGTTCTATCCTCAAGTCGTACGACACATCAATTAAAGTCGTCAATTTACAGAAAAAAATCGAGGTTCTCACCCGAAAAACAGGTGTTCTCCACTGGACACTTAAATGGTGAACAAATCTCGGTGTTCGAAGATAATATGGTCTTTACATGACCGAACATGACCGTCACGAGGATAAAAAATCTGGGGGAGGTATTCATTGCCGACTTACTATTGTTTTCTCACCAACGTGGTAAAATTGTATAGATAATGTCATCGTGAAAACGAGTTTGAATTCGTCATGAATTTTTCATTGTAAAGTACACTTTTGATTATTTTAAACTTTTTTCGATAACTGTTGTAAATTGTGGTATGAATATTAAAATATAATAACGAAAAATCGTTATTTAATACAAAATTAAATGAATTAAACTACACATTATTGAAATGCAATTTTAAAAACTATGGGTAAACTATAAAAAAACTATACGTATTTGGTGAATCTGATAAAATAAATGTATATAAATCGATCATTCATTAGAAATTCATGGTACCTATAATAGGTGTTTATGATCTGAATATTATTTTTTCATGTATGTTAATAAAAGACAATATTTGTGTGTGTGTATGTAAGGCGATCTACAACTAAGTCTATCGCACTAATTTATCTGAAATTTGGTACATGGGTAATCCTATACCGAGGATGTGCACCTTGAAGACAATTAAAAAAAATAATTTTTTTCTCACTCAAGGATTTCTTGGCTCACGAAACACTAATATTTTTTCTTGCTTAAGGTTGTAATTGGTCACAGATAATAAAATAATTCTTATAACTGTAAATAATTTTAGACTTATATTTTATAATTGGACAAAACCATCCAAATTAATGTTTAATAAATATATGTGAAGTTTAAATTTAACAGATATTTAAGACAAGCCAAATCCACTGGCATTATTTAATTTGTCACATAAGATCAGCTAGTTTAACATTAATATCAATATAATTAATAATAATATTGCTTACTAATGCCTGATGGAAGTATACAGTTTTTATTTTACATTTTTTAACAACATGTGTAGGTACCTTGTATGTGATTATTATCATAGATAAAGTGTGTTGTCCTCGATGCTGAAATTTAAAAGATGGCTTAAAGTAAAAAAAACCAAAAACCAAAAGCACAGTTATTTAAATTTTCCAAAAATCAAAATAAATTTGAATAAAATATACACATTTAACAGATACCATTGAGGTTAGAATTGTTGGTGAATCACTCTGTATATTATGTATAACGCACATTTACACATTCTATGTTCACAGCTAATATAGCCATTGGAACACCGGAAAAAGTTTTGAAAATAAAAATGGCGAACAAGAAACCTTCGTCTCTTATAGGCGTGAACAAATGTCGTCGAACGAAACGGAAACGTAATTATTATTATTATCATTATTGTTGTTTACCTACCTATCCTTTTACTATTATTATTATTATTTCACGTTTTCACCGTGCGTGGGTTTTGACTGCTTAAACATTAAATTTGTAAGCGATTATTGTAATAGTATACTATTGAGAATCCGCCCACTCCATCAACAGCAGTTGATAATAATATAATGAGTAATATTGCCTACCTATCTATACATCATATCAGCAATGATCTCATTGACAGTTGAGGCTATATAGTTGTACAAGACGCTCGTGTCTCTCGCATATTGTACAATTAATAGCTACAATTATTTTTTTATTGCTATCCCAAGCTGAATTCAAGCATTTAGTGCTTTTATCTATATTGACAGTTAAAACATCGGTTTTAAAGTTATTACCTACTTATTAAATTATATACGTATTACATTGTATTAAGCAGATATTATGCGAGTACAAGTGTATTATGCGTCTATGTATAATATTATATCTGTAACTAGTCACTAGAGTGTTCTTCTATATAGGTATAGCAGACTGCGAGACGAATATACTTTCCAAATAGCCTGGGTGTTTATTATTAGTACCTATAACAATATTATTTTGTTTATTATGACACGCGTATGACACACCATAATATGACACTATATGTTACTGTTTTCGATCGCAGTAGCTAAGGCGTATCGATGATGTTTTGGTGTTTTAAAAGGAAAGTGTTTTACGGTTATATATTCTGATCGACAATTTATGATTCACAATAAACTGCGGCAGTAACTAGTATCGGTAAACTATTGATTGTGTGTATAATAACTAGGTAGACGTGCGTAAGACGAGGCACTAATGAAAATAAAAAACAAATTAAATTGATAAACATATGAACGTAAAACATTCAATATTGCATGTGGAATGTATACAAAACTGTAAAATTTATTAGCATGACTTGTATTATGTCTGGTACAGTAATACCTACACCTATAGTGTATTTTTTAAATCAAATATTCATAGACATTAATACTTATACTGAGAACCTTTAATAGCTTTTAAAAATTATAAAAAATATAATGAAAAAAAACGGTTCTGACTACAATTTTGATCTGCAAGCATTGAGACAAAAATGTTGCGTTAGTTACCGAACTCCATTCATCAAAAATTAAAAACTCAAATTAAAAATTTAATTTTTACATTTAAAATTTGCAGAAAATGATTATTTTATACAATTTTATCTATTATGCTTAAGAATATAAAATTAAAGACTTAAATGGTTTAGAATAGTAAGTATACTGTAATTTATGATAAATTAAATCTTAAGATAAAAACTTAAAGATTATGACGATAAAAGGTAAGAAATAAAAATTATTTAAATACGTTTTATAATGACCAATCAACCATGTGAAAATATTTTCAAATACGTCGTAAGTATTTAGGTACCTGAGTGGAGCTAAATAATGCATTTTATTTGACGATTCCAAGTATAAGTTATAAATTATGAAGTATTTACCAAAAAAATTACATTTCGTCAAAATTTAAAATAATGATTAATCGCGGAAAGGGAGTCAAGAACGTGTACTTACTGTTTACCAAAGGTGATAAGTCGCGTAACAACAGTTGTAATATGAATGATTACAGTTACAGAGTTATCATTCATCATTATAGATACCTAAACAGTTGCGTGACAAAGGTTAGATAGGTTAACAGAAACAATACATAAGTAATACTCTTTGAACAATATTATAGTTTTGAATATTTTTTATTTCTATAGATGCCTCTTTGAATTATGGATAAGTCGTATAAAGTAATAACGTAGGTATAATGATCATTAAAATCAAATATTCACTAGTCCAATATTCTGCATAGAAAATCAATATATTTTAATGTTTTATTAATAAACTACTTACGTAATGAAGTCTAAAATGCTTCTTTATTTGAATACTAAAATAACAAAATTTAAATCGATCACAATGTAAATTTAAAAAATACACTATAAAGTCAAATTATACCGAATTCAATAATACATAGGATAGATAGTAGTTAATCAGAAAAAGGGGTACATATTCAAATTTAACGAAAACTTTATACATTGTCAAGACCTTGGTTATAATTTACAAGACACAAATTTAATATATTTCGTTTTGTTGACTTATAATTGATGGGTTTTTTTATTATTATTTTATTCCACCAATGGGAAAAAAAACATGTTTATTCACAGATAAGTATCAAGTGCTTGAAAGAATAATAACGTTTTCTCTAGTTTTCTGTAGATTCTTAACGACCTACCTAGTAATGTATTTCATTCGTTTGACGTCATAATTTGAAAAAATTTACATTTTTATTTACCTTGTCCAGATATTCGCAGTCCTATTGTCACAGATGGACAATATGAAAATGAATAAATAAAAAAACAACAATGTGGTAGAGCTAGACTATGTATGTAAATTAAATTCAAATTGTAAACGATCTACATGCCTATAATTCAATAAATTACAACCAGCTATGTACTATGTAATCCTGGCGATGATATTTATATTTTATAATGCGTATTTAGCTACTGAAATAAGTGCAAAATAGTAATTATTCCTGTATTTAAATTCAATATTTTCAAAGATTTGTATTTAATTTACTTTTGAATTTTGTTTTGCATATTTCAATAAATAATGTTTGTTCGATTGTGATTAATAGTTCTGTATTGTTACTCATTATAAATTATCATTTATCAATGATATTTTATGTTAAGTATACTATACCCAACAATACTATCATACTGTAGATACCTAAATGATGTAACAGAAAGGACAAGCTATACTATGATGAGTCTGGTTCTTATCTATAGAACATTAACACTTTTTATATAAACATATAATACATAGTTAGAAATAGCCATATAATATCCAAATTAAAATATAATTTATTAAAAAATTAGTTAGTTATACCTATGTGCCAGTTGTTTTTGTTACATCCTGTATAGCTGTATGCTTGTTGCCTGTATAATAAACTTTGTTATTATGCCTACAAATATTATACTTTATACTGGCTGTAGAATAACGTAGACAATAAGTGATATTTTTCTTGGACAACTAATGAATATTCAATAATATTGAACTGAGTACCTATCTGCCATTACAATATTCAAAAAAATTGATATCTTTATAACTATATAAGTATGTATGAACTACATAAAATAAAATAGATAAATTAAATCATAATTTATTTATTTAGTTTATTTTCTATTATAGAAACATTTTTCATTTCATAAATGTCCCTAACACTGTTCATAGACACATGTTAAAATCATTCATAAATCATAAACAACTGAATTAAATCTATATGTATTACATAATGTATTATATA